GTATTCTGTTAGAACTCAATGATTATCCTAATTATATTTTAGATTTTTTATATTTAAAATGAGATGTTTATCATGTATTTGATTGTGTTTATCTGCAGTTAGTTACACGAATTCAGTTATGGGATGAAATCGGATAGAGATGAAATTGTTTAGGGATGAACGGGTTTAAAAGTTTTAAGAGTTTAAGAGTTTTAAGAGTTTTTAAGAGTTTTTGCCAAATACTTTATAATATAGTATAGATATATATATATATATATATATATATATATATATAGTAAAAGGGTTCTCGCATAACCCTTTTACTATAGATAATCACAACTTATTATTGCAAGACATGTGCATAAATAAAACTATAATTTGTTGGTACTGGATTTTTGTTACAATAACGTATAATTGTCTCACCATTGGCATGATCGCCATTAATTGTAAAAGTTGAAAAAGAAAAATACTTGTTTCTGATCAATGTGACAGGTCAACATCCGTGTAACCATCAGTAAATTTGATACTATTTTGACTAATATCAAAAATGTCTCTTTGTTCACGATCCATTATATGTCTTAATTATTAACTACTTTTTTTCACAAGTCGGCAACCACCACAAACGTACCCTTCAACATAGGTTTTCAAATAGTCTAGCCGTCTTATTGGTTGTCACTATTCAAGTAGGGATCAAATTTCCAACCTGATGATTATTGACGGTTGTTGACAATCATAAAGACTGTGAACCGATATTTTCGTTTTTAAAACAAATCCGTCTCTTGATAGTTAGGAAATCATGATGCATACTTAAATCTGGTTTTAAATGGCTAAACATACAATAAGAACGTAGAATGTTTCACATAAAATATCATTAAACTTGGTAATGCTATTTTATCTCCATAAATGATTGTAATAAATATGTCGATATGTCTAGTTTAAGATTCTTTTTACATGTTTTTGAAATTATTTATTTTGGTTTTATACTTCAATTTTTGTTTATTGATTGTATTTCTCAAAGAAAGTTAAGTACATAGTTACTCTCATCTTTGTCAATCTTATGAAATTGTTTCATATAATTTTTTTTTTTGAAGTTATTCCATACATGATTATGAAATTGTTTCATATAATACATGTAAAATTTTAATAAAACGGTTTCATGTATTTTTTTTAAATTAATATATTGAAGATATAATATATATTATTAACACCTTTACCATAAAAAAAAAAAAATAATTAATCAACCTCTCATAATTATAAATAAATAAACAAAATAGAAAATTATGATTGATTAAATGATTTTTATAAGATCTATACGAATAACGTAATTTACAAATTAAACCTCTCTCTCTCTCAAAAAAAAAAAAAAAAATCATTCTTTGTTTATTTTGGCTTTCTTATTGGTGTAAAGCTGTAAATTGTAGCAGGTTTAGAAACTCGATTAATCTGAGCCGTTTATTCTAATTAGATCATCTGGTTTGATGGCCCACCTAACACACCATCGCCACAAATGAAAGCCAATATTAGAAAAATACAAAATAATTTCAAGAATTTGATATTTGATTTAATATTAGAATGTTTTTTAGAGGATCTAGCGATTACAGTATGTTTGTGTGTCTCTATCTCTGCTGCTCCATCATACGCGTGAAGTCCTCGAAGCACACGAACCCATCCCCGTTCTTGTCCACGCTACTTATCATGCGCCTGCAATCCTCTAGTGTGCACTGTCCACCGCCGATCGACTTAAACACCGAAAACAACTCGTCCGCCGTGATCAAGCCGTCACGATCCGTGTCAAAAAACTCAAACGTGCCTCTCAGTTCTTCGTCGCACGACGGCGGTCCGAAAGCGGAGCTAATCACGCAGAACTCCTCGAGACTTATGCTTCCGTCACCGTCTCTATCGACTTCGTTAAGCATCAAGCTAAGTTCCTCCGGACTAAGTGGCTCAGCACCTCCGATTCGGCTCAACAGAGCCTCCAACTCCGCTCGTGTTATCCTTCCGTCGCCGTCGGTGTCCATAATCCGGAACGCGTGCACCAGCTCAAACTGTACGTCGGCGGAGATATCCGACCAGTCATCGGAAGATATTTCATGCGAGTGCGTCAATAAGACGCTAGTCGGTGTCGCAAGGCCCTTTGATTTGGATTTGTGGTGGTGAGTGGAGTCCGGTGATCCAGACGTCGTCGTAATGGATGAACCGAAAGAAGATGACTCCGATCTCGAAACGGTACCGTGTTTTTTGGATCTGAAGAGGTTTTTGGGGTTGATTTTTCCGGCGAACTTCATGATTATAAAGATGGAAAGGGTTGAGAAGGGAATGATAACAATGAGGTTTGATGGAAGGAAGGAGGAAGATGGAGGTGGTTATAAGGAGTAGTGAGAGGAGAGCCATAGTGAGCTTCCAGGAAGCTTCGTTTCGAGCCGTAGAAAGACTATTTATTGGGTACCCGTTTTGATTTGGTGTGTGCTTGTCTTGGTTTCCTATGGTACGCCTCTTTCCCTTCCCTTCTTTTTAAACAAAAAGTTAATAATACAATAGCTTTTTTATTAAAATGATTGATGTTATAAAATAAAATATAATACTTTAATCATAAAAATGAAATGAATTAAATGGATTAAAATTCGCTTAAAATATATGTAAATAATTAAACTAAGCAGTCATTTACCTAATACTTACCCAGTAAGCGTTTACTGGTGAAATACATTATTATTTACTTACTGGGTGAGATTTTAATCCACCAAAACGGTATTGTATGTAACAATTTATCCGGTAAGCGTTTACCGTGGTAAGAGTCGTCGCATTCACTTACCGGGTAAGACTCTTGGTCCTTGTCTCGCTCTTACCGGGTAAGATTCTTGGTCCTTACCATATTCATCCGGGAAGGTAATGTGACTTGGTGTTCATTTACCCAAGTAAGCGTTTGATAAACAGCCCCTAAAATTCACAAATTTATTAGTAGTATCAAAGCAATAACTGAATCTCCCATTCTAACACATGCTTTTGTTATTGCTACTGTGCTTTTGAATCAACGAGTCGTCAACTTTGTTGGGTGTAAGTGGACCTATAAAATGAAATACAAATCAAATCGTGCAATCGAGCGCCTTAAAGCATGTCTTGTCTGACATGATTTTCATCGGCTACCTGATATTGACTTTCATGAAACATTAGTTTAATTGTTAATACACAACACAAGTCATTAGCTTTATCTCTTGTTGTGTCATGTTGTACTACTTGTCAACTTGATACCAAAATTGCATGGGTTTGTTGATCCTGCTGAATATCTCAGTATGGTTGGTGCACTGTAGTACTTGATCCTAGTTCAACTGGATATCGGTTTACATTAAACATGACTTCCCAATATATGCATGCTTTCCGAACCAGTCATAATGATATTCGCAAATGTATTTTCAGTATTTTTGTTGGAACTTCCAATCATGGTTTGTTTCTCAATGCATCTATCATGCCACAATGTCTTCTTTCCTATGCATATATTAATTGAGTAGCGGTTTCTTCACACAATTGTTTAACAACCAATTTTGTTGTATATCTAGGCCCTAATCTGGTGTTTTGGTGTTCGAAGAGACAACATATGTTTCTCAATCGTCTATCGAGGTTGAATATAAAGCAAAGTTATACATTACAAAATTTTCATAATAAAATGATAGATATATTTCTACAATCTTACACAAGAATAGTAATTTTTAAAAATATGTGATTAAGGGGCTATCTAGTAAACACTTATCGGATAAGCATTTACTAGGTTCTTTACCTTACCAGTAAGCAAGATAGGGACCAAGAATCTTACCTAGTAAGAGACAGGGCCACAGCCGAGGTTTTTACTCAGTAAGTGATGGAGAAAACTCTTACCTAACTAGCAGTTACCGAGTAAGGCCGGGTAATTTACAAACATTCTCTTCGATAAGGATTAAATTGTATAATGGCCATCCCTTTTAAGGGTACTTATACCCATTTTTGTGAATGAAAAAAAAAACACAATTCATTCATCAATTTTCAAAGTTACCATATGGTACCAGAGCCTCTCAAATCCCAAATCTATCAATTTTCAAAGTTACCATATAAACGCTTATCAGATAAACACTGGTAAACGGCCTCTAATTTTGTACGAAAGTATCATATTTAATATCACCAATCATACAAACTACAAAAACAATAATACGTATTTTATTCTAATTATTATTTCAGGAAGCTTACTTTTAGATGGTTCATTTTGACGTCTACAACATAATTCTCAGCCAATAAAGTTCGACATTTTATTTTTCCAAAAAAAAGTATACAAAATTACAAATGCATTCCACTATTTTTTACAAGGTTATAAAATGTTCATTTTAGTTATAAAAGAAAACATGTTATGTTTTCTTATATGAATCAAACAAACGATACGTTTCTCAAGCATTTTAAAATAAGGGTCGTTTATTTAAATGTTTATATGATAAGTGTTTACTGGTAACACTCTTAACTTATTTTATCGTGTAAAATTGTAGTCCATCAAAGTGGTAGCGTATTTAATAATTTATCCGGTAAACCCTTTATTTGGTAAAGAGTCATCAGGCTCACTTTCTGGATAAAGAGTCGTTTACCCAACAGTTATCCGGTAAGTGTTTATCAGTAAGGGTCAATACTTTCAATTAACTTACAGGGTAAAACTTTACTGCGTTAAAACAATAACATGTGCAATAATTTATCCGGTAAGCGCTTACTGGATAAGAGTCGTTACTCTTACTTACTAATAAGACTCTCGGTCCTTGTCATCGCTCTTACCGAGTATGATTTTCAATTCTTGTCATGTTCATCCGATAAGGTAAAGTGCTCTGACAAGTAATGACCGAGTAAGAGTTTAGTAAACAGCCTCTAAGACTCTCAATCTCTATCATTGCTCTTACCGGGTAAGATTTTCAACCCTTGTCATATTTATCCTGTAAGGTAATGACCCGATAAACGCTTACTCAGATAAACGTTCAGTAAACGACCATAAGCCTTCAAAATTAGAACCTAAATAAAGTATGTTTTATTTTGATACAATTTATTGCATTTTAGAACAATATTTTTTCAATTTTGAACAAATTTATATGACATAATGAAAACTTCAAACCTTTTTAAAGTTTATCATTAGAAACACATAATCGTATTTTTAATGCTCAATTTCCAGTATAAAATAGATTAAGCGGCCGTTTACCAAACATTTATCCAGGTAAGCTTATCAAGTCATGTTATCTCACCGGATGAATATGGTAAAGACCAAGAATCTTACCTAGTAAGAGCGAGACAAGAACTATGAGTCTTACCCGGTAAGTGAGAACGACGACTCTTACCACGGTAAGCGCTTACCGGATAAATTGTTGCATATGATGTTGTTTTGGTGGAATAAAATCTTACCCGGTAAGTAAATTATAGTGTTAAATTTATCGGGTAAGTGTTTGGTAAACGGTCCCTAAGGGAGATTCACATGCGATAACATAAAATTTGTTGTGGTTGTTTAAGAGATTAGTCGGTGTTTATATGCTAGTCCGGATACCTGCTGTTACCAAGCAAAACTCAAAATAAAATCAATAAAGAAGAAAATATCAATTACATAATAGCAAGATATTTGAAAATAAACGTTTTGTATAAAATGGCAGGGTTACATTTTTTAAGAAATTCATAAAATTGAAACAAACAATTTTACCTTTTAAGGCCATGTTTGACAAACTAGCTGATAAGTAGTTGTTAGTTGATAAATTAACTGGTAGTAGGTAAGTTTTTTTCTAGAGAACTGATGATAAATAAGCTAGTTGTTGATAATCGTGTTAACTAACCAAAAGGGGTATCTTGAAAAATTAGTCAATTACATTATTATTGTTATTTTTGTTTTTTTAACCATTTTATTTAGTTTAAATAAATCTATAAAACATATAAATTGAAACTGATAAAAAAAATATAAATTAATTACTTTAAAATATATTTTTTATTTTTTCATTTCCTGTAAACATTTATACATATAAGTTTTTGTATTTTATTCTAATAAATTTATTTTTACTTATCTCGTTATATTATTATCTTTAGATTATTGTTCGAATACTTATATATAAATTAAAATTAATAAATATATTTATAAACAAATAGTTCTCACATGGTTCTTCGTGTATATATATATATAGGGGCAGGTTTAAATGAAAACCATGTCATTTTAAAAAATCGTGTAAATCAAAATCAACCAATAGAAAAATTCCATTCTTTTTTAATTAAATTTAATCAATAAGGTCATTTTGGTCATTTTCATTATTTTTTTCATAAATAAGGAAGTTATTAAGGAATATTAAATAAGGAAATTTAATAATGAAAATTATATAAATGGAATGATTTAAAGATTTTAATATTTTATAATATTAAAAATTGATTTGTTTTTTTTTTATTCAATGAAGCTCGAAACATTCATAAGATTTTATCTTGTTATGTAATTAATGAATGATTTGAGGTTCATTGTATCAAAAATTACCGGTTATGAATCTGTTTCATATGAAAATGTTTTAAAATGAAAAAGGTTTCATATTACCATAGCATAATATATTAATGTTCATATGAAAAAGGTTTTAAAATAAAAAGGTTTCATATTACCATAGCATAATATATTAATGTTCATATGAAAAAGGTTTCATCACAAAGAAACGGTTGCATATTATATTAAATGCATAATGAAAAGGTTTCATCATAATGAAACGGGTGCATAATATATTTCATTCTTTATGCAATTAATGTTCATATGAGAAGGTTTCATTATAAAATGTTTTATTTGCTTCTTTTATTTATATTATACATGTTCATGTACTTCCAGGTCATGATGATGAAACATATTCATGTTCAAGTTTTAATGTATATTCATGTTTGGGTTAGTGAAAATGAAACGRGTTCATGATGTAATTGACCGGTTAATCATTAACCGCTTTAAGACTTGAAAAATGATGGTGGAGGTGAATGGTTTTAATAGATGAAATTGGTGCATAATATATTTTATTCTCTATGCAATTAATGTTCATATGAGACGGTTTCATTAATATATGGTTTATTGGCTTTTTTTATTCATGATGAAACATGTTCATGCACTCGTTTCATGATGATGAAACATATTCTTTTTCAAGTTTCAATATCAAATGAGGATAATGAAACTCGATATTGCAAAATCATAATATTTAATAAGCGTATTAAACAATGAAAAAATTTCATTAACTAAAATGTAACGAATCCGTCTACAATTAAATTAAGAAAAACGAAATATGATCATTTATTTTAATTTTTTATGAAATTATTCATTATACATTAGTGAATATGTTGTGTTTTGATTTTGATATAACTTATTGATGGATATTATTTTAAAAAATGTTAACATTAAAATAGTATATTACTTCACAAAGTGAATTAATTTCATTAGTAATATAATTTACCTGATATGGTTGACTTGAATA